CGTGGCCTTCTAGATCGAGAACAGCCTCTGCATCTGTGCCGCCATGCCGAGCAAAGTCGTCATCCTCCGCTACAATGACAGCCTCAGCAAGTACTGCATCCGGAAGGCAAGCTAACTAACGGCCCAGCCTCCCCACCCCCAGGGCCTGTTCCTCTCTGCTGCCCAGAGCATGGCCCTGTCCTTCCAGGAAGAGCCAGAGCCTGTGGTCACCAGGAGAGCGACCTCTCGCTTTCCTTCTCCTGCTTGGGATCTGGAGGTGGATGGAGGAGGCGTCTTTCTGAGCTGACAGGAGCAGCTTTGTCTTGGTTAGCGGTCCCCAGCAGCGTCCACCTCATCTCCCTCAGCGTTCAGAGGTCTCTGGGATAAGGGAAAGCCATCGCTGGCTCTGTTTGATTCTCCTCAGGACAGAGTGCTGTGTGGAGGAGAAGCATTCTAACCTTTAAATTAACCTCCCATCTGGAGGCGGTGTTTCCTGGCCCCAGACTAAGTGTGCTGTGGCTCATGCCTGGTCACGTCACGATAATACCCAGAGCATGAAAAGATATGAGCTATGTGTGGAGGTGGTTGTTAGTGAAACGGTCTCATGGTGGGCTTGTCAGCAGTGTTTGTTGACAGCCTGTGCAGCCTGTGTATTGGGATGGAGCTGGCTACCTCAGTGTTTGGTAAGAGAGATATTAAGGCTGGGAAAGAGAAAACTTTTGGTTTTCCTACCCTCTCCTGGTAGGGTTCTGAGTCTGTTTCCTCACACTCGGCAGGGAGCCGATGGATACATTTTCCATGATGGTGATGATTAAAGTTTGAACTACTGGCTTCAGGCAAATGCGATTCTGGGCCATCGCTTTAAGAAAACATGCCGGTTACGTTTTGTTTTGTCTTAATGATATTTGGATTGGCCTAGAAATGACTACAAATAATGAGTCAATTAAGACAGGAATGCAGTGATACTCTATGGCTAATACAGACTCAAATTAGAAACCAGCAAATTACAAAGTAGCCCAAAGGAGGACGCTAAGGCCAGGCATCCCTGCTGCCAGTGTTAATAGTTGGTTCTCCGCTCCTGGAAGAACGTTTTTTGGTGCTTTGCCTGTCTGTGGAAATGGTGTCTCACCCATTTGGGACTTGCAGATCCCCCTTGTTTTCTGAGACTGCCTGGGCTGGCATAGAGCCACAGTTATTAGGTAGCGAGCAGGTTGTATGTCATCTTGGCAGGCATAGATGAGAGGCTAGAGGCTCAGGCAGAAACAGCCGCAGAGAGGAGGTGTCCTGTGTCATCTCTGTCCCTCTGTGCCCCCTCTTCTCAGGAGATAGAGACCTCCGAACCCTGCAGCTGTATCCACTTCACCAATTACAGTATCCTCATTGGAACCAACAAATTCTATGAGATCGACATGAAGCAGTACACGCTCGAGGGTACGGCCGTGGTCTTCCTCCCCACCCCACAGGGCTCGGGCCTCGAGGAGGGAGGCGTGGGCACCGATCCTGAAGCCCCGTCTCACCTGCCTTCACAGAGTTCCTGGACAAGAATGACCACTCTTTGGCGCCCGCTGTGTTCGCATCCTCATCCAACAGCTTCCCCGTGTCCATTGTGCAGGCGAATGGTGCGGGGCAGCGGGAGGAGTACCTGCTTTGCTTCCACGGTCAGTCCCCAGCCTGGGCCCTTGCGTTTCCCTTGGTCGGCAGGGTGGGTCCGGCCAAGGGGCAGGAAGCCCTCGGTGGCTCCCCCTCCCTTCATCTTTTGTCACTCACTGCCTTCCTCTGGATTGGTTTTTGCTACTTTTTCTCTTGATACTTTCTTTCTTTTAAGTTCTTTTTTAATCACTGGGTGTTTCTTTCCCCCTTCCTGTCTCTGACTTTCTCCCTCTTCAGTCTCCTGTCTGTCTGTCTGTCCATCCATCTTCCTTCTTCCCTCTCCCCCTTTTCCCACTTCCTTCCTCCCCTTTGCCTCAGTCCTCTTGCTAGAATAAATTTGATTGATGAGATAACTTTACTTAAGAAAATACTCATTTTAGGCCTGGCGGTGGTGGCCCACACCTTTAACCCCAGCACTCAGGAAGCAGAAGCAGGGGGAATCTCTGTGAGTTCAAGGCTAGCCTGATCTACAAAGTGAGTTCCAGGACAGCCAGGAGTGTTACACAGAGGGACCCTGTCTAGAAAAAAAAAGAAAGAAAGAAAGAAAAAGAAAAAGAAAGAAAAGAAAAGAAAGAAAGAGAAATATCCTCATTTTAATTTGAGGCAATGGTTTTGTGGAAGCCGTCTGGCTGTAACAGTCCGGTTAAACCTGGTCAGTTGTCCCTGGGGTTTGTTCCATGTTCTTCTGTCATAGCATATGTGGCCTCTGGAGCTAACACCTTACATGTTCTTGATACTTTTCAGAATTTGGGGTGTTTGTGGATTCTTATGGAAGGCGTAGCCGCACAGACGATCTCAAGTGGAGCCGCTTACCTCTGGCCTTTGGTACGTGAGGTACCGGGTTGGGGTGCGGGGGCCCCTATTTGCTGAACTGTGTCCTCGGAAAGAGCTGTGCGGAATTTTTGGCTTCAGTCTGCTGCTAGTGTATCTAATGGACTTAAGTGGCATGGACGGTATTTACCTAATGTGTCTGTGGAGAATGTGTAAATCAGGTCTCCCAGGCTGCATTCCAGCCTGTTTACGATCTCAGGATACAAAAGGGAATATTCCCTGTGGATGAGAAGTCATTCTCAAGGCTGTGTAGTGCCCCTGAGTTGAACACACAGTAGTTAATTCTGACTAGGCAGAGCAATGAGGTCACACGCATTCATTCTGTAAGAAGAAACACTGTGGTGGGCATCCTTGAACTGGCGCTGAACACACAGGTTGTATCCTTTGGTTGTAAGTGTCTAAGTGTAGAGTGCGTCAAAGAACAAACACACATACATGCAGGTCCATAAGACAAGACCGTGTGGATATTCTACAGCACACACACACACACACACACACACACACACACGGTAAATAAATAAATGTATGTAACCCATTCTGGAACTTGGTGGCTTATAGCAACATGCATATTACCCATGACTCTGGGTCAGCTCAGCTCTGCCCCTCATGGTGTCAGTGGGGTCTAGAACAAAGTGCAAAACCAGCCTCAGAAACAAGGAGAAACAAGGTTGCTTTTCTTTTTGCTGGCCATTGGGTTGGGGGTCACTCACTTTACTAGAGGCCATTGTTCCCCTCTATGTAGGTTCTTCAAAGAGTATAAACAGGAGCTTCATGGCCTTTCACATGCAGGGTTCTGTTGGCTCTAGCAGGCCAAGAGGACTGCCATGTTTGCCTGAGGGCAAAGTCATGGCTTACCACAGGAGCAGCAATGAGGCCCAGCTTTCCTATCGGGAGAGCAGGACCTGTCCTGTCTTCTCTAGTTCCAGTGACTCTGTCATACAGAGATGAGTATTACCATATAGCTGGCATGGCGGCACACACAGGAAGGTCTGGAGTTCAAGGCCAGCCTGGGCTACACTGGGAGACCGTATCTACAAAATGAAACAAATAACAATGACAAAAACCCACAGCAAAATCTAAATACCTATCTATCTTATAAAAACTTTACTTGGAGAGGCTGGAGAGATGGCTCAGCAGTTAAGAGCACTGGCTGCTCTTCCAGAGGTACCTGGATTGAGTCCCAGCACCCACATGGTGGCTTACAATTGTCAATAACTCTAGTTCCAGGGGATCTGACGCCCTCTACTGGCCTCTGAGGACATCATGCACAGACATACATGCAGGCAAAACATTCATATACGAGGAGGGTGGGATCTTTAAAATCTTACCAAGTAACGATGTCGACTGAGCCACAGGAGACGTCTCTCCCGTGTCCATCTCCTATTGTCTCCATCTTGTTGCCCCAAAGGGAAGAACTTGGATGAGTTTATCGTCTTCCCCGTGTTTTATCAAATACAGGCATACAATAGACATCTCCCCATCCTGAGTGGCATGTTCCTACATCCTGAACTTGTCTTGGTTGGCCAGTGCACGGTTGTAATGCAGGCCTTCCTGCTGCGTCTCTTACCCTGGGCAGAGCTCCCTAGGGACGCTGTAATTTACCTGACTAACTCCTGGGATAGAGCTGTTGCTGACGCTGTGGCAGGCCACGAATGAACCAAACCCCTGCGATTGTGCTGTGTGGGGAAGTCGTCGTGGGGTACCGGCTTCCTGGCCACTGGTCCTTTTGCAAGTTTTGATTTTCCTTCTTCTATCTTTCCTCCCCCGTCTTTGTTTTTGTTTTGTTTTTTCCTCATGCTCATCCTCCATGGTGACCCTGCAGCCTACAGAGAACCCTATCTGTTTGTGACTCACTTCAACTCACTGGAAGTAATTGAGATCCAGGCACGTTCCTCCCTAGGGTAAGCATTTCCCTCCATGCTTTGCGGACAGGTTTAGGGGCAGGAATGCCGTGCAGCGATGGAGGTCACTAGTAATGATGTCTCCTCTCCTATAACCCTGCAGGACTCCTGCCCGAGCATATCTGGAAATCCCAAACCCACGCTACCTGGGCCCTGCAATTTCCTCGGGCGCCATTTACCTGGCCTCCTCTTATCAGGACAAGTTGAGAGTCATATGCTGCAAAGGGAACCTGGTGAAGGAGACCGGCACTGACCAGCACCGGGTGCCCTCCACCTCCCGCAGGTACTGCGCCCCCCTCCCCAGGGCCACGTGAAGGCGGGGGACATCAACCACACTTCAGTTTGCAAGCATCTCAGGTATTGTGAAGGACTCCCGGTCACAGGCAGGGGACTCCTGATGTCGCCCCGAGGGTGTCTTCAGTGATTCTGCTGAGAACAGTTCACACTTAGACTCTGTTGCTTTGGTGTGTGTCTCTGTCATGCCTGCTGCTGAGCCCCACAGAGATGTGTGGCCCCTCCTTCCTGCTGCTCAAGCCCAGTGCAGGAGAGGGACAGCTGGAACCCGAGTTCTAGTCCTGATGGGCCTGCAGCCTAGACGTGGGACCAGGATGGACTTCCCCAAAGAAACAGCAAGGGAGTGATATCAGGAGGACAGGGAGGCAGGACATACAGGGGAGGTCCGGAGGTGTGAGGGGTGGCAGTGGGCCGTGGCTTGCTAGGCCCTCTGTGGAGCCTGAGAACTCTTTAGAGGTAATTTTTTTTTTTTAATTTTTCGAGACAGGATTTCTCTGTAGCTTTGGAGCCTGTCCTGGAACTTGCTCTGTAGACCAAGCTGACCTCGAACTCACAGAGATCCTCCTGTCTCTGCCTCCCAAGTGCTGGGATTAAAAGCGTGTGCCACTACCACCTGACTAGAGTTTAAATTTTTTGTTTTTAACTTGTATTTATTTTGTATTGGTAATCTAACCCAGGGTATAGAACCCAATGAACACAAAAAGTATAAGGTAGTACAGTCTCCTGGGTTCCTTTTCTTTCTTGTGTTTAATAAAAAAATTAAATATTTATGTATTTATTTTTTTTGAGACAAGTTCTTCCTGTGTAGCCTTGGCTGACCTGGAACTCATGATAGATCAGGCTGGCCTCAAACTCAGAGACCCATCCTCCTCTGCCTCCCAGCTGTGCTACTATACCCAGCTTGAATTTTTTTGTTCAACTTTTATGTTATGTATATGAGTATTTTGCCCACATATGTGTGTGCGTGGTACCTGAGAAGGCCAGAAGGGGGTGTTTGATCCCCTGGAACTGGAGTTACAGACATTTGTGACCTACTGTGTAGGTCTTAGGACTGAACTCAGGACCTCTGGAAGATCAGCCAGTGCTCTTAACCACTCCACTCTAACCATTCTCCTCCTTAATTTTTGTGAAGTAGCCACGCTGCCCTGAACTCCTGGCTCTAACAATCCACTTGCCTCATCGCCAGACCTGGTTTCTCTTCTTGTTCCTCCCTTTCTCCTCCTCACTCCAGCACCACCCAGGAAGGAGCCAGTTTTATAACTTGTGTTTCTATTTAGAGATCTTTCTGCATATATATGCGCACAAGCTCGTGTTTGCTATGCCATAAAAGTAATCCCATGTATTAGTTTGTTTTCCGATTCTGTGACAGAATACATGGCGCTGGGTGAAGTGTAAAGAAGGCTCATGGTTCTGTTCTGAAGTCAGGGGCCCACATCTGTCAATGTCTTGAGGGTGTGCAGGGCATCAGGTAGTACGAAACAGAAAACCACACGTGTGTATACCTTCTGTGTGCACCCTGCTTACTTGTTAAGACTCTGCCTCCACCCCTTGATAGCACAGTTAGATTCCACTCCAGCCCTCTTCATATCTCACAGTGAGGACTAGAGAGGGGCTCGGTGGTCACAGAGAACTCACATTTCGTTCCCAGCACCCACATTGGGGGCTCACAGTTTCCTGTAACTCCAGCTCCAGGGGGTGGGAAGTAAATTTCCACCCTGAACTCTCAAATGGTCCAGGTCACGCTGAGTTCTCTAATGAGATAGCTGCTGGGGTGGCCCTTTAAAGTCGGACATTTTTGGAGACGTATCCAGTCCCTACCAGTATCTAAGTTTAGAACATTTTTATCACCCCCAAAGAAGTTTGTTTTCCTCTGCTTCAGTGCCTGCTGCAGGCACTTCCCACTGCTAGCGAGGGCTACTGTTAGGCTGCCCAGCAGGGTCCTTTCTCACTCCGGAGCCCCAGGCCCACTCCAGCAGAGTTCTGAGTGCCAGTGGGCCTTTTCAGGTCAGATATTGATCCTTTTCTGGAAACGAGCTTTGGGATCACTTCAGACATTGCCCGACTGCAGATTTTTCACAGTGACTGGCTACAAGTCCGCTGGCTTCCACTCTGCTGTAGATCTGGAGCGGGGCACGGGCACAGAGCGTGCTAAATTGTCACTGAGCCATACCAAGTTTGGTTGTCTTGCAAAAATACTGTTGGATTGCTGCAAGCCAGTTTCGCAATGTGGCTAGGTCAGCATGCTTGAGTGTACACGCATGCGTGTTTCTCGACAGGTCTGAGAATTGAACCCTGGGCCTGGCATACTAGCCACTGAGCCACCCTTGACCCCAAACTTGCCCAGTGTGGTTTTAGTCAATCCAGGACCTTGATGGAAAACCTGAAGCAACAAATGACCAGGTGCTCCTAGTTTGGTTCTGAGTCGTGTGAGGTTGGTGTTGCCAGTCTTTGTGTGGCTGCTCTTTGCTCTCATGGAGAAGTAGGACCTCAGAGGTTCTCACTCCTCCATTCTAGCTTCCTTCCCTCCTTCTGACGGAAGGGGCTGTGTGTGGGTGCACACCTGTCCCTTGATGTCTTAGCAGTGACTCCAGGGCAGTGCAGGGAGTGGCTCCTCCTCCTCCTCTCCTGCTTAGCTGTTGTCCTGTTTATTTATTCAAATGCTCTTGCCATAGACATCAGCAGCTCTCTGGGCCTCCAGTCTGCTGCTGCAACTTCCACCCCTTTGAAAATCAAGAAGTCTGTGGGCTACAGCACCAGAAAATCAGAATAGAATCCTGAAAGGTGCTGCTGAGTCTGCCTCCCTGGGCTGGACCCGCTTGTAGCTCCATCAGCTGGGTGTAGAAGTTGCCTCACCTTGGCCCAGAAGACTAGGAACCAGAGCCACATCGTGCATAAGAAGCTGGAGGTTCCTGGGTGGTGGCGCACACCTTTAACCCCAGCACTCAGGAAGCAGAGGCAGGCGGATCTCTGGGAGTTCGAGGCCAGCCTGATTTACAAAGCAAGTTTCAGGACAGCCAGGCCCGCCCCCCCGCCCCCCCCGGTGGGGGGGGGGGGGCGCCCGCCAGGAGAGAGAAGAAGCAGCTGGAGATGTTGGTCCACGAAAGCTCTGAGATTCAACACAGGGGACTATTTCATTGACCTATGATTTTACTTTTCTGGACACTTCTACCCTGTACACAGCTGTGAGGATCCCTGCCAGGTGCCAGGCATCCCATCTAGGGCTCCGGAGAGCAGTGCTGAGGGTGCTTTCTTTATTCCCCAAAGGGCCTATAATTAGGTGGGTGAATGCCAAGGGTTCCAAGACACTTTAGATGTTGTAAAAGGCAGACACATCTTCAGTATTCTGATGCTGTGCCAGGACAAGCTGCCTCTTACTGACGAATAGGAGCCACCGTTCTGAGATGTGGTCCTGATTCCACCGTTGCAGAAGTGGCAGAGTACAGTGCACACTTTCCTGAGCCTTAGCGTGTCTTGCCAATGGCCTTACCTCTTTATCGGTGTGATTTTAATTGCAGGGGTGTGCTGTAAGACCAGTGTGCACTCCAGGCCAGCGTGTACCCCTAAAGTGTCTAGAATCTTGGTGTCATCTCCAAGTCATACAGAAAGGGGTCCAAGTGTTGGGTTAGACTTCCCCATGGCCTTGCACATTGCTCCTGACCCCTTGTGATCCCACTGTGAGGGCCTGCTTGTTCCGTTGTCCGGAAGGGCCCCAGCTGCTGTGAAATAGCAATGTGGCTTCCCTGGGGGCTGCCAGGCAAGTCCCACCCATACCTGCAATCAGAGTTCGGCTACCGTTCTGCTTATGGAATGGTCTTTTCGCTCCTGGCTGCTTTGGGTGGGCCGGTATCTGTGACTGGCTTGGCTGGCTGGCATTCACAGCAGGCCCCATTTTCCTGGTTTGTTTAGCAGAGCAGGGACCATAACTCTGCAGAAACTATAAAAGGGACGTGGTTGCTCATGGGCCATTATGGATGTGGAGATGGAAGACCGCCCACTTGGCCTCAAATGATGAGTGCCCTTTTTCCTCTCATTAATCTCAGCCGATGCCCTGAATGGCCTTCTCTGAGTCCCTGGGCACAGCACTCTCCTGCTAGCCGTATGATGGCCCCCGTGGACACATTCCGGAATTTCTCTTTCATTGCACATGGGCTTAATGTATTTCTCCCCTTCTTCTGTCTCTCAGAGCTCGCAGCTCGAGCTGTGTATAGACTTTGAGTTCTGGATGTAGACATCAGGTCCCTTCTATTTAATACCACAGAGAGGTGGAGTGGGTGGGGCTGGCTTTCAGGGTGTTTATCTGAACCACCAGGTAGCCTGCATGGGAAAGCCAGGCCACGGCATAAAGCTGTTCATGGCCAGCTGGCCACAAGCTGGCCTCTGAAAGCTCTGTCTTCTTCCAGCAGGTAGCTAGGGCGCCGGATCTGCTGAAACCTGGATTTTATCCAGGCCAGGGAGGATTGGATTAATCCTACCGAAGGTCCCACCCAGTATGGGGGCGGGGGGTTGTAGCTCCATAGTAGATAACTTGTCTGGCATGCACAAGGCCTTGGCTTCAATTTTTAGTACCACCAAGGAAAGCGGGGGGAAAGGCCTTGTGTTCTCAGTAGATTGGGGAGATCAGAGGTTGTTAATGGTTAATCTCTGAGCCAGGGTGAACTAGCCAGACTGTGTCTGTCTGCCCTGCTTGGTTTCCTGATTTTATCAGGTGTCATCCCTCTGGGAACTGTCAACCTTCTGAGCAACTATATCAGGTGCCACAAAAACTTGGAAAGCCCCCTGCAGAGAGAGGGAGAGGTAACCAAACAGCCGGCACAAGGCTGTTATAGACCCAGCCCGACGGTGAAGGTGACGGTCTTCCTCAAAGCTCTTCTGTTGCACCAAGAGCCTTGCTGGGCCCCTGATTCCTGGGTTATGACAGGCCCCGTTCCTAACAGGAGACTTCTGGGAAATACTCGGTTGGTATGATCGAGTGTGGAGATCATGACACCAGACTGACCCCTCTTGGGTGTTACCTCTCCACCACCATGCACTTCCCTGTGCAGTGAGAGCTCTGCTCTCTCAAGCTTGTTCCCATTTGCTGGTGTTTGGAGACGGTGAGGCAAAGCGCAGAGGGCTTAGCCCAGGCGTGCACATGGCGCATGCGCAGCAGGTGAGACCTGGCACCGACACCTGGAAACTTGAGTTTCTTTTATCCTTGTCCTCAGGTCTGAGCTTTCCTTTAACCCCAATCCTCAGGGGCTGAGGCAGGAGGATCATGACTTTGAAGCCAGCCTGAGCTTTACTTTATAATGCGTTCTAGGCCAGCTGGAGCTACATAGGGAGACCCTGTCTCAAACACTAAACCGAACAGCCTGAGCAGCAATGAGAAGAAGCTTGCGGATACTTAGAGGGGAAGGGAATTGCAGCTTTGGGGCTGCGGCTTCTCAGACCCCTGACTCTCGTATTGCCCCCAGCAGTCCCAACAAGCGAGGCCCACCAACATACAATGAGCACATCACCAAACGTGTGGCCTCCAGCCCAGCGCCACCGGAAGGCCCCAGCCACCCCCGAGAGCCAAGCACACCCCACCGCTACAGAGACCGAGAGGGCCGGGCAGAGTTGCGCAGGGACAAGTCCCCAGGCCGTCCCCTGGAGCGGGAGAAGTCCCCAGGCCGGATGCTCAGCACGAGGAGAGAGCGGTCCCCAGGGAGACTGTTTGAAGACAGCAGCAGGGGCCGGCTGCCTGCGGGAGCCGTCAGGACCCCACTGTCCCAGGTTAACAAGGTGAGGCAGCGTCCTGAGGGCTGCACAGCTCTCTTGTAGCCAGAAGCTGCCTCTTGGCTGCTGTTGTAAAAGTGAGACTCCATCACTGTGGCTCAGGCTATGGGAAGTAAAAGCTTAAGAAAATACTATTTATAATATTTATTGAAGGTGCTTCTACCACAAATGACAACATGTGTGATTAGGGGGAGGGGGTGTGCACACCTCAAAATGTAACAGCTACCAAAGGCAGTACTAGTGGCTTCTAGGTCTACTCTGTACATACAAACAAATATGCGTGTGTGTCCCCTGTAAGTACAAATGATAGCATTCTAGATATTTTCAGACATGCAGGCAAACTCATGTATTGTAGACACTGATATTTTTCTCTAAGTTTTCCAGAAACTTGTAACTGTGCTTTGCCTTCTAGAACTGTGAGCTTTTTCAACGTCTGCAGTGGTACCCGGGTGATGTTTAGGATAGTGTCTGAATTAGTAGATGGAGATCTTGAAGTGGTAACTCATGAGTGTGCACACGGGTCCTGGGGTTCCATCCTTCTTGGTGGACTGTCCAGTTTCTAGAGCCCACTCTATCTAGAGGTACCAGCTTCCTGTCCCCTGAGGATGATTTTCTGAGTGTCTCTGTCCTGCTGATGCTGCTACAGCACATGGTCAGGACTTCCGGTAGAGAAAGAAGAGAACAATGTAAATGTTTCCTCATTAAAACTGAGTGTGCATATGTGTGCATGCAACCGTGCAAATTCAGTCTGGTTGTTTTGGGTTTTTTTTTTTTCTTTCAGTAACTGTTTCCTGCCTAACCCCATGCCTTGAGGGCTGGCTCTGTTAAGTTGGCACCACCGTCCACCGCTGGTGGTACAGGACAGACACCATTAAGTCACACTTGCCTCACACAGCGAGTCAACAGTTGTGGCCTTGGACGCTAAAACCCCTCCTATTTGTTTTGCTCCTAGGTCTGGGACCAGTCTTCGGTATAAGTCTCAACCAGAAAAACCACCTCCTCATTCAGTCTGCAGGACCACACCACACCCTGGGTCTCTGCTGCAGGGGACCCCAGCGCCCGTCCGCTCGACCCACATTCAGCACAGCTGGGTCCAGACTGTCCTTGGCACGGATACCCCCATGTACAAGGGGTGCAGATAGCCAAGGCCCGTAGGCGCTGCTGGCACTCGGTGCCCACCCCCGGGCGCCTTCCCGCAGTCATCCTTTGCACTTTGTCACTCGTCCACTCATTCAGAGACTTTTGTACTTAGCTCCAGCCTGTACCAGCTCATCAAAGGACGCCAACCCGGACTGTGGCCGGAGTCTCCTGCTACTCCGAGATCCTCGGGTTGGTGGTTTTTCTTTGCTTTTTAGTGTTTTTTTTCTTTCTTTTCTTTTTTCTTTTCTTTTTTTTTTTTTTTTAAGACAACAAAATTCTTAGTAGATTTGGATAGCGACGTATTTCCTGTTGTAGTCGTTTTTAGCTAGATCACACCATCAGGTCTCTGCCACTGAAACGTAGCATAGAAGAGTCCCCGTTGGTTGGCTAACCTCCCGTGTTCATGTAGCTTCATTCTTGTTCTGGTCCAGTCTCATAGATGGCCCTGTTTGACGCAGGGTGACATCGTAGCCAAATGTTTACCGTTCTCATTGCCTTTTATGGCCTTGACAACTTCCCTTCCCACCAGCTGAGAATGTATGGAGGTCAATCCGGCCTCAGCTCGGAGGCAGTGACCTGGGGCCAAGGGACCTCATCGAGCTCTACTTCCCCACCCCTCAGCGTCATCTCCCCAGCCTGCTTCCCCAGCTTTCCATGTAGCTTTGGCCAGGAAAGCACGCAACAGACTTGCTGCAAGCCCAGCATTAACAGGCCTTGGGGTTGGGCCTGGGACCGGGGCACCCACCTCCTGTTCTGAGGGTTGGCGTGTTGCTCCTCACTCCTCTGGAATGGGGAGGAGACCTGTCTGGGAGCCCTGCATGGCGGATCACTGCATGCGCTGCCCCTGACCTGGTTGCCAATGTACTGCTGCCATCCCATAGCCCCACCAGGCCAAGACCCTCTGGTACCTGTCAACTAACTGGCCACACAGGCTGCAGTTTGTAGCACTGGACACACAAACAAAAACAAAACGCTCAAGCCTTACGACCAGAGAAGGATTTCAGCAAACCACACTTCTCCCTCAGTTTCCCCTCCCACCTCTGTTCCCTGCTGACTTCAAGAATGCCTGTGTGTTCACACAAAAACCCAGCACGGTTCTACCCCACGAAACTGTGACTTCGCAGATGAGCCTTTCCCTAGGGCTGGACCTAAGACCAGGACATTGGAGAGAAGCCGCAGCTCAACTCTTCCAGCCCTGTGGGGCTGGCGAGTCCCCCCTTAGGTGCAGTGCGGCTTGCCCAGTCTCTCTCCACGCTCTTTAGAGTGGGAATTCCTGGCAACTGGATAGAACCAACGTAGAGGCTTTGCAGTTGGCAAGCTAACTAGCGGCCTTACTTCTGCCTTTAATCTCCCACAAGGCCTCTTCCGCTTTGGATTCTCCATGATTCTTAGGCGTCCTCCACAACTAAGGCACCTCCTAGGTAGGCTGAAAGGTAGACCCGTCCCCACCACAGCCGGTGACCGTGTCCACAGTCCATGTCACTTCCCCGATTACAACCTGTCCTAAATGCCGGCTCCTTCCTGCTCGTCTCTGACCTAAGTGCTTTCTTGTTTGAAACGCCCGTGAACCCTCCATGTCCAGCGCCCTGCCGCTGTGTTTTATGTGTGGCTTGGAATCTCTGGGGTTGTGTCCCCCTCCCCGTTCCCCCAGGGCAGATCTGACTGACTGTTTGCTGAAGTTTTTGTCTCTTGGTCCACAAGTATTTGGAATGGTCACTGATACCTGGTCTTCAGTCTTGGCATTTCATTTAGGACCTCCACGAGAAATGGGCACCGTGAGCCCTGACCGTGTATATTGCGCATCTCATCTGTGAAGTGCTTCCTGCTACATAGAACTAGCTCAAAAGACTGTACATATTTACAAGAAACTTTATATTCGTAACAAAAAAAAAAGGAAATTGAATTGGTTTCTACTTTTTTATTGTAAAAGGTGCATTTTTCAACACTTACTTTTGTTTTCAACGGTGGTAGTTGTGGACAGTCATCTCCGCCAGAGTGGGGAGCTCTCTGTGTGACCACCGAGACGCCAGCAGGAAATAATCGTAACCCGAAATCGCCGTCAAAAGCTTATTAGCATCAATAAGATTCTAGGTCTCCAAAAGTACAGGCTTTTTCTTCATTACCTTTTTTATTCCGAACGAGGAGAACACACGGACAATTCCAGATCCACCTTGAGAGGAATGAACTTTGCTGTTGAACAATAGTGAAATAAAGCAATGATCTCAAAATGTTCGCTCCCTTGGCATCTTCTCTCGTCAGAGACCATAAAAAAGCCACGGCCAAGGCCAGCACAGGCTCACTGGCACAGCACCTCCGCTCTGGGGTGCCGCTGGGTGAACACTTGGTTTGGGGAGTGCTCCTGTGAACCAGGTGCTTGTGATTAAGGTCGTTTTCTAGGACAGGGACCTGGGAAGCAGCTCAGACAGCCACCTAGGCTGCTGTAAGAGGATTAATCTAGAACATAATAGCTGTAAGGCCGCTAACCAGGAAAACAGGTCAACACAGGATCTTTCTTACCCCGTTATGCTGAGGCCACTGCGAACTTAATCCTGCACTTCTCTTCAGCGGGGGCTCGGGTAAAGGTGGCTGAATGCTTCCGGCTCTGACTAGACGGTTACTGTTGGCAAGGTAAACTCTGTCCACTACATTGTAGTTTATGTAAACTGGACTGGTCCAGAAAAAGATTTTTCTCCCCCCATCCCCGCAATACCTATGCATTTAATGCATTTGATCTCTGATTAAAATACAACACGGTGATTGGATATAGTTAAAAGTTGACTTTGAGGGTCAAATCTAACAGGCTTCGGATGGGAGCTACAGAGGCTGTGTTCCTTGTGATTGTGAGAAAGACAATGGCTCAGGATGGAGGAAGTGAGATGTTGTAACTTCCACAGAACAAACAGAAAAATGCCATGAGCTACCAGCTACTATGTCAGTTACTAGCTTGGCTGCCTTAAAAATGAAGCAAACAGGGTTTGACTCCAAAAGGAGCTTGCTCAGAGATCTTTTGGACCTGAAGGGACTACCCTACAAAACAACCATGAAATCACTCAGTCACACTATAAAGTGAGGCCCAACCCTTGACAACTTAATTCTCACCAAACTCAAGACACTGACTTCATACCGAGTTTCATGACTATGAAACTCTGGGTCCCTGGGGCCAAAGTGAGAGAGATAGTCTACTTAATTAAGGGCTGAGTAGCTAGTCTGCAAAAAAGGACCTTTTCGCCAAAGGTGGGTTCAGAACGCTTATGAAGACCCACAGCAAGAGATAAGGCTGCAGGGTGTGGTGGCGCATGCCTTTAATCCCAGCACTCAGGAGGCAGAGGCAGGCGGATCTCTGTGAGTTCGAGGCCAGCCTGGTCTACAGAGTGAGTTCCAGGACAGCCAGAGCTACACAGAGAAACCTTGTCTCAAAAGACAAAAGGGGTGAGTGGGGGGGTGGATGAGACTGGCCCTGCAGGGGTGGGGCAGCCGAGCTGAGCTTCCACCATAATTACATTGTCTCCTTGCAGTTCTCAGCCGAGACCCTACAGATTGCTAGAGTGACAGTGATTCTAGGTGACAGAGTGAGTTTTGGTCACCACAGGTATGGGTTCTGAGTGATACCCAATGGGGAGAGGGTCGGGGAAGCACTATAAATGCCCTGTAATTCCCCGACAGACTTTGTCCCCCATAGCAAAGAATGAGAGAAACTCTGCTCTGGCTTTCCAGTCAGAGGCAGATCTGATCAGATCGTTCTTGCTGGTTTAAGTGCTGCTTATTCTGTCGGAAACCATCAAATGTTGTACCTGTTTCCTTGAAGTTGAGGGGGCTGTGGGTGGAAATACAGCACAGCAATGGCTGCTTCCCCTTGGGTCTGTCAATGAGTAATAGAGCTGTTTGCCCAGAGGGGTTATTAGAGGTGGAAGAAAGGACTCTGAAAGCCACTGCTGCTGCACAGGCCTCAAAGAGCCACAGAATGGGGAAAGGACAATTGACTCGGGCTGTGCATCTGGAGCTGTCTCCTGTCTCCCTGGCTGTGGCATTTCCAGATGGGACAGAGAGATGAATTCCCGGGTGTGTGTGGGGGTGGGGGGGGCGCTGGCCTATTGATGTGGACCCCAGAGACCAGGCTCCAGCTTGTAGGATCCCCTCCAAGGTTCAGACTCAGAGCTCTCAGTAAGACTGGATGATTCCCACAATTTACTGGGAAGATGGGTTTTACAAGAAATACATAGTCATGACTTCCTTGCTTTCTCTTCAAGATGGGAGGCTCAGAGGCAGAAGGCTCAAGTTTCTGTTTGTCCATTAACCTGCTGGGTACAAGTGGTGGAGACTCATTGGCAGCAGGATACACTCAATGACTGACCCAGACTTGGTTCAGACTGTTAGCACGGGCGGATGCTTTGTGTAGTGTTGCTACCGGAAACATTTACAAAGAACACATTTATTCCGTGCACTTCTGGGAAATCTGAGACAAGGTGCTATGGGTGTGATTGCCTGGCCAGGGCTGCTGTAGGCTTCCAAGATGAACCTTTTGTTTCTGAGCTTCTCCATAGGGGCAGAAGGCTTTGTCCTCACATGGCAGAAGTCATGAAGCTCTGTGGTAAAGCTTCCCTCATGAGGGCTGGGCAGGGGGCTCATGACCTAACAACTTCTTAAACGGCACCTACAGCTGAGCTTTGGATGGGACCTAGCCAGACCACGGCGGGTGAAGCACCAGCACTCAGTGTAAGCTTGAATGTGAACTTGTGTTCGTGTTCAAGGAACCTTGTTCTCCAAAATGCCTTGGTCTCGGACCTCAGTCGTGGGTGTCTAGGACTTCCTAAGGAGCTGACGTTACTTTGTAATTTCCTTGTCGGGTGCCCTGACCTGTTTGTGGACACAACCCACTCGCTTTGTGGCGCCCAGTGTGACATAAGGGAGTCCAGGTGTCATCTTGCTTATTAGTCCACCCTTCATTTTCCAGGGAGAGGACATCCCTAGAAGCCATCTAGAAGCTACATCTGCTATGGGGTGAACAGCTCAAGACTGACATGCCTTAGAGCACTGTTAACTGCCCTCACATCTACACCCACAAGGAGAGACAAAGGGAAGGAAGTGGCCTTGCCTGGGTCCTCTGGATTCGGTGCTTTCATGTATGATTGAGGTTGACTGCCTAGAAAGATGTTACACATGGCCTCCAAACTAAAGTTGTTTACTAAGACTTACTTCAGATTTTATCATTCCCCAAATAATACAGCTTAATTATTTGCATAAGTTTGCACTGTATTAAGCACACAGGAAGATGCGTGTAACTTATATGGAAACACTATACTATTTTATCTGTGATTTGAGTGTCTGGAGATTTTCAAAATGGGAGCAGAGAAAGAAGCAGTCACCCGAGGACGCTCAGAAACCACTTACATTTTGGTTCAGCAATACCCTTACATTTTAATTTTTCAGGCCCTACCTTTGTCTCTGTGATTGTTAAAGTTTTCAGACAAAGGAAATACATCTTCACTAAAAAGCAATTTGAAATAAGCTTTCACCAATCATGGAGCCTGCCCTTATCGATAGAGAAGGCTGGCTAACAGAGTGTGACCTGGGTCACAGAACACAGCTGGACAGGTGGCTGGACTTCTGTGGATTGGGCAACACAGCTGATCCTTTTCCATTTCTTGGAAGTATTTACACCATTGCCTTTAGCTCCTGGGTCTGGGATCTCTGGGCTGTCTTTTGCTCTTTGAATAAATATGCACACAGAATGCATGTGTTCGTTTCCTGAGGCTGTGCCTGCCGTCTGCCACTTTGGTACACCAGTCATCTCTCTCAGGAGCCACCTATGATCCTGGGACTGTCATTCTTACAGGGTAGCTTCGGAACTAGTTTTTACATTACACTTTTGGGTGTTCCAGCCCCTCGTGAGCGGAGCTAAATTTTTAAATGCGCATGTGGAGGCCGCAGGATAGTCAGGTGTCCTGTCACTCTCCTCCTTTTCTCTGGAAGCGAGGTGTCTCACTAAACCTCAAACTTGTATTTTAACTAGACTGGCTGGCTGTGGGTGCTGGGATCTGCTTGTTTCTGCTTCCCAACTTTAGGGTTACAAACACAGGACTTTTATGTGGATGCTGGAGACCCGAACTCAGGTTCTCATGCTCATATAGTTAGTGCATCTCCCCAGCGCCCCAAGAGCTAATTTACATGTGAGATTTTCTGCTAGTGCCCACCTCACTCTCAGGCACCCACAGGTATGATGCGTAGGTGCCTCTGCATCTGACTCTCAGCCAATGGGGATTCACAGCTGTCTCGTCCAGAGTGCTACAAGATAGCACCAAGCAGACCTGGAAGTTCTAATCTTCCTTTCAAGAAACCGAACAGAATGTAAACTTCCTCTGGCTAGTTTTACGAATCTTTATTGAAACTTACACATCAAGATGACAGCAATTCAGTGTTTTGAAAACAGTAACAAAAAGGAACCCAAACTCAGTTCAGCCAGATACTGACACCACTGAGCTTGTCCCCGCCTGCCCAGCAGAAACATAGGGTATATTGGTAACTTCTGCTGACAGGTGACAGGAACCTACACCAACGGGCACATCTGTGGCATCACCATGGAAATCAAGATGGGTGTAGAACAGGTTCATTCACACTAATCCCAAAGAGATCGTCCTACTGAGAATATAGGTGGTTGCTATAGGGGTTCAAGTTCTTTTAGAACGAGCAATAGCAGCCACTGTGACATCCTTGCTCACTTAAGACACAGGTCCCCAGCCGAACAGCACATGCTGGAACTGAAGAGGGGTGGGTGCTTTGACAAAGTTGTCATGGTAACACTGTCACCATTACAGCTGAAGTAAGGAGTGGACAACTTTCCATGGTGGCCAGTCCTCAGGATCATTCAGCTTAAGGGAGAATACGGCAGTGGGTTCTGAAGTTTGTGTTGAGGACAGTTATTGCTGAGCGAAGTCACATGATCTATAGTTTCATCCTGGTGACTTATTGCCTTAGGTAGGACTGGACAACCAGCCACTCGAGTTAAAAAGGTCCTTAGTGCACACAGTGTCGGGCAACGATTGCAAAGCTGCACCTGGAAATCAGACATCTGAGTTGCCATTGAATCTACAATCTACTGCTTTGATTTGAAGGACAGGTAGGACTGAATATTGCTTACGTCCACAGCGAGGCTCCAGCAGGGATAGGCCATCGACCCTGGACATAGACGATGGGGACTTTTGTGTGGCTTCAGTCCGTTCCCCAGTTTTTA